ACCGCATAGGCAGAAGACAAGTGTCAGATGAGCGCAACGTACTACAACTCTGATAACAAATTGCAAGGAAGATGAGCGATAGCGAACTTCAAAAATCAAACAACATTATACACATAAGACCAGATAGTCGTGACCTCGAACCAACAACATAATTGCATCACGAGTTTCATGAAATAAGAACACACCAGGAGTTTATAATTGACAATGCTGGAATAGTCTCATCATCATCATCAACGAAGAACCAACGTTGGAGAGAAGGTTAACAACAACCGTATTTTTCATCACCACTTCAGGACACCCTTCACCACTTCAGGATGCCGCCTGCCTAAACAGGTGGTTTTCAAGGTCTTCAGACCTTTCACCACTTCAGGATCATTCTGGTATGAAAATCCTGAATGGTCCTGAAGTGGTGAAAACTCCGAAGACCCTTAAAACTACCTGTTTAGGCAGACTGCATCCTCAAGTGGTGAAGGGTGGTTTTCATGGTCTTCAGACCTTTCACCACTTCAAGACCATTCAGGATTTTCAGACTGCCAAAAACTCTCACTTGACCATTTCAGGACACCCTTCACCACTTCAGGATGCAGCCTGCCTAAATAGGTGGTTTTCAGGGTCTTCGGACCTTTCACCACTTCAGGACCGTTCAGGATTTTCAGACTGCCAAAAACTCTCACTTCAGAATTTTCATACCTGAATTTTCAGCTACCCGATAACCGCTTGAGCGAAGATGACGTCAAAAGCTTCACCGAAGTACGAGCAGATCTCGGGCAATGCCGTCGCTTCTAGCACCAGGTATGTCTTTCGTATCACTCTCAACCTCGTTCCCCAACACACAGATGCCACATGCACCCAAGGACCACCCTGCGCCCCATCCAGCATTGTAAATTATGAACCCTTGGTGTGTTCTTATTTGGTGAAACTCGTGATGCAATTTTGCTGTTGGTTCGAGGTCACGACTATCTGGTCTTATGCGTATAATGCTGTTTAATTTCTGAAATTCACTATCGCTCATCTTCCTTGCACCGGCGAAATAAAAAGTAAAAATCTGCATATCTATATATATATATGTATATGGAGAAAAACCCTACATTGCCTACAACCCCATATTTCTTTTTTTCCAAATTGCATATTTTTTGGTATTAAAAATAAATAATTCTTTTTTTGGGTTGTGTGTGCGTGTGTGTCTGCGTCTGTGAGTGTGTGCGGGGTGACCCCCCTCCCACCAATCAATCAATCAATCAATCTAAAAAAAAGCGAAAGAAAAAGTCCACAAGTGTCGGTGTGTGTGTGTGGGGGGGGGGGCGACTCCCCTCCCACCAATCAATCAATCAATCAATCAATCGAAGAAAAAAAAAAGTGCGAGTGTGTGTGTGTGTGTGTGTGTGTGTGCGGTGTGCGGGCCGGGGGGGACCCATCTCCCACCAATCAATCAATCAATCAATCAATCAATCAATCAATCAATCAATCAGTCAATCAATCGAAGAAAAAAAAGTGTGTGTGTGTGTGTGTGTGTGTGTGTGTGTGTGTGTGTGTGTGTGTGTGTGTGTGTGTTGGTGGTGGGGGGGAGACCCTCCCCCACCAATCAATCAATCAATCAGTCAATCACTCAATCACTCAATCACTCAATCACTCAATCAATCACTCAATCAATCAATCAGCAAACCAAATCCCAATCAATCAATCAATCAATCAATCAATATTTTTTATTTTTTAGTTTTCATTTTGACCCCCAACCCACCCCCTCCCGATTTTATTTATTTATTTTTTTCCTGCGAGGGGTTGAGGTTGGGGTTCCGCTACCCCAGTCAGCCTCCGCAGCCGCAAAGTGACGTGGCCGCGCATGGCCGCCTCCAGAGGGGATTCGTAGCTTCTCTTCATTCACGAGACATAATCTGTACTTGGAAGGATAAACTTAAGCCCTTGTCATGCTGTAACAAGGGATATTTGAATTTTTCTGCTCTGTACTGCTCAATGTTTGTGAGATGGATTCATTGTTTGCTGGATCGCTGAAAATTTGTGAAAAGGGAGTGAGCGACCTTTTTCTGGAGTATCGTAGTTCTGAGACCTATCATTCGAATGCCGGTGGTTCCGTAGATGTAGATCAAGCCCCTCTAGTCATCGCTCTAGGTCAGATTCATCAAGATAAGTTAGTGTTATAATAATATAATCCTTGATCATGGCCTGAACTTCATGCATGAGAACCCCATGTAGTTCTATCCTTCCGTTGTGTCGTTTTCTTCATGACACATCTCATCAATTTTCCCTTTGGAGTTAGGCCTGTGGGAAATGCCGAGATAGGCTTTTAGTTGTGCTTACTGACAGTGCGGTTTGTTGGCTACAAACACCGAAAAGCTCGCGCGTAACACTGGGGAATCACGTCCCTGGTCCCTCTTGTTTCTTTATGCTTCTCCTACAAGTTGTAAATAATTTTGTATTGAGGCCAACCCTGGAGGTAAATACATCTATAGTGGCCTGTTCGAAAGATTAAGGAACAGAGAGTGTGACGCAAAGAGTATAGCGCGGACAGGGAATAGGGTAGGATGCATGCATGGTGTGGTTCATCCAAGTCTATTGGTGGGGAGCATCACCTGCTGGAAAACGGGTCCAGCGTCCCTTGACTGTACAACTTGAATACATTATGAGAATAAGAATAAATAAGAAAAAGGTCTCTTGAATTGAAGAAGACTGTCACTCACTACCTGCCAACAGAAATTGAAACAACAACACTACCTCTTCATCCATTCCAGGACGCCAGATATACCTGTTGAAACTAGTAGTAATAATTCTATAATCCATACCATGAGTTGGGAACAAGGGCTGTTGCTGGGGGAGGAAAAGGATCCGGGAAATCTGATAACGGACGCATGGGAATTGATGCGTCTATTGTAGTCCAGTCATCGAAAATCAATTTGTAGTCTCTTTTTATTCCAGTATCATCATCCAAGTCCTTGCCTGCTCTTACAACTCCAAGGATTCTCCAAGGATTCTCCAAGGATTCTCCAAGGGTATTATATCCTGCGCGAAGTAGCGTGACCCCTGATGAAGCCGGACAGGCGACCGGCAGAAACACGGTGTTGGGTCTTTTCGCCTGACATCGCTGTGCTTTCATGTTTGGGTCTTTTCGCCTAACATCGCTGTGCTTTCATGTTTATTTTTCGAACATACCTGCGCTCGGTTCTTTGCTTCGTCTTGTCTTTTGAGTAGTTTGCTCTGTGCACACTGCTTATCTGTGTTTAAACGTGTGTTTGAATGTCTGACTAATGAATACTTCTTCTTCTCCAAGGATTCTCCAAGGATTCTTGTGCAGTGCAGGCCTGCCTCTCCTTGTATTTCTTCATGCTGCTCCTACACATTGTATTAGGCTGACTCTGGCTGAGTTTGGGGCTAAGTTCATTGCGATTGGCCCATTGAAGAACTGTTACACTGATTTGCGAACAGACAGTGCACAGGGCACGACACATGTACGTGTTTTTGTCCAGGCCTTTACCCTGTGCTAGTGCTTGGATTTGGGTACCTGGCCATTGGTATATGCCAGATTCTGAAGTGGACTAGCATGATGCATTCTACTTAGTCATATTCTAGTGCCATTTTATTCCTTTTAGTACTCCGTATTCAAGAGCACATTGATTAACGTGGGCGTATCTGTTGTAGTTTTCGCCTCTAAGTAATTAAGTCAGTTGGTTATGCTTATTAAGGGTTACATCGTAGAGTTTCTGTTTCTCTGGGTCCATAAAACCTTTTGGAAAATACAATCTCATGGGTAGCGGAACTCCTCCGGAGGCAGAGTGAGTGCCGCCGTCAGTGGTGGGAGCGCTAGTCCTTGTAGTTAGCATCATTAGGATAGGAAGCAAACTCGAACTGTATCCATCATGGTGATCTAAGATCTTGGTCCAATTGACTGTAGATCTTATTGAAGATCCAGCCCACTGCCAGGCGGCTCAGGCTTCCTTGGGATTGCAGATCTGTTTATCAGAGTTTCTTTTTCCACATTGATCACTGGCATGGGCTGCTCCCCTCAGGGCAGTGTTCCCTGTAAGCGAAACTAGGTAATGCTCCCAGCAGTTATTCTTCCGGGTACTGGATTGTGAGGACCCCAACCTCGAAATATTTTCGCAATAGACCTATAATATTATCTTGTGAGAAAAATAAAAATAAAAAAATGACATCAACGTACTTGGCCGTTTTTCTGTTGTTGAAAATGCTCCAATCTACTCGTGGGGAGCAGCACGTGCTGGAAACGGGGCCCAGCGTCCCATATAAGAATGTACAGAAACAATTTGAGATACAATTTTGATATTCTCGGACCATTACCCGCCTGCCCTTCGGCTGAGATGAACAGGGGCCAAGTCCCACTTACCCGAATTCTCAACTTCTGACCCTAGATTCCGAAGATCAACGGCCAGAAATGAAGAATCAGCGTAAGTGGGACTTGGCGCCAGGACTATTCATGAGAGAGCTACTGCTCTATTGAGATTGGAATAATCTGAGCACTTGAGGAAAACTACAGGAAAAATACCCAATATACCACGCTTCGCTTTCACACCCTTCGGCCCTTTGGTACAGGAAATGTACCACGCTTTCACACCCATTGGCAAGTATTACCCAGCAGAGGGAAATGAAAACCCCACCTAGGCACCATGGTAGCCATGCTCTGAGCTCTCTGTACCAAATCTCTAGCACAGACTAGCAGGCCTCACACCCCCAGCATGCCCAGGTTACAGGGCAGTGCAACCCCCACCCCGACCGCGAGCCTAGCTTCATCAGGCGGTGTGACAGAGTATTGGACCCCATCGTAGTGGCCAGGAGACTCCCTTTGGTACCCGGTCACCTCTAACCTTCTTGCCTCTCTGTTTACCCGAATTCCCAATTTCTGACGGTAGATTACAGAGATCAAGGGCCAGAAATGAAGAATCAGCGTAAGTGGGACTTGGCCCCAAGGTGCCTCGTCCGGAATAAAAGAGCTACACAAACCATAGACACAATCGTTGTTCAGCCAACGTCGTTCCTTGAGGGCGACACACACACAGAGAGAGAGAGAGAGAGAGAGAGAGAGAGAGAGAGAGAGAGAGAGAGCTAGGCGGGGGGGCTAGGCACAAGAGACAAGCTGACACTCCATAACTTAGCCGCCAGCTCCAGGTCATGGCAAATTGCCCCGCATTTGCTGACCTGTGCATGGGCCACGTATGCACCTCCCACCTCCTCTGCAGGAGCCATGACTGCATACATCAACGTCTCCACCGCTTGTGCTGTCGTATTGAGAAACAGCGGGAAGAGGGGTCGTAACAACCCCGAGAATCGTCGGGGCACCACGTTTTCAAAGAACTGACGCGCCAGGGGCGTGTTGATGAGCCCTGGATGAACACTTACCGCTGTCACTCCCCATTCCCTGTACCTGCGCTGCAGCTCCTTCGTCCAGATATCCACCGCCAGCTTCGACTGAGTGTAACCATGAAACGCATGGTATTTCTCCATGGAGTTGAGGTCCGCGAAGTGGATATTCCCGCAGTGATGGGTGGATGATGTCAAGCTGACCACACGAAACGGCCGCCTCTTCTGCTGTTGGCCTCCACTGGCAGCAGTGGCAGGAGGATCCTCTTGCGTTTGACCCAGCAACTTCAGCAAGAGCTGGCGAGTCAACAAGAAGTGGGCAAGATAGTTGACTTGAAGCTGACTTTCGAGCCCATCCTCGGTCAAGACACGTGCAGGGGGCGCCATGATGCCGGCATTGTTGATGAGCACATCCACGTGCACACCACGTGAGGTAATCTTATGGGAGAAGTCAAGGACGCTGCGGAACGAGGACAAGTCCAGACGGATGAACTCCACACTTCCTCTGCCTCCTCGCCCTCCTCCTCCATCTTTCTGCAGCTCATCTCCGTCTTCGTCAGTCGGCCATATCCTTCCATGGCGCAGGACTTGCTCACGGACCTCTATGTCGATGTCCTCAGCCGATCTGGTGGCAATGACAACGTGTGCGCCGCGTCGGACAAGCTCTTTGGTCAACGCGAGTCCGATTCCCCTCCCTCCACCTGTAACAATACGTAGTTTCCCAAGCAAGCTCCGGCAGTCCGTGAGGTTTTTGGAAGAGCGGTGGTGATGGTCCCGGTGGACTGCAGTCCGCCGGCAACAGGCGGCGGTGGTGGTCCCGGCGGACTGCAGTCCATGAGGTTTTTGGCAGAGCACCTCTCCTCCCTTGCAGTACTCCTCAGAGTCCTCAGAGTAACTGCACCACGCCCCTTGGGACCGAACTGCAGGTGGCGGGCCGCGGTCGTAGACAGGGCTGGTCCGCGTCCGGGTCCCCTGCTCCAGATCCTGCATGTTGGTTCAGTCGAGCTGAACCTGGTTCCGTTTGCTGCACCAGGTGTCGTGCACCTGGTTCAGCGAGCTTGCGAAGTACGTAAGAACGAAGAGGCTGAGTCGCAGACTGGCCGATGCGCCGGTAGGCGTTGTAGAAGAGCTCCGACACGCCCGCGACACCACCGTACGTGGCAGTGAGGGTGAAGCGGACCTCTCTCCACCAGAATGACATCGGATTCCTAGGATGGACTAAGTATGGATCATACCGATCGACGGCTGCCGTTGCCGGCGTTGCGCTCAGCTTGACGACGTCAACTTGAAGACGGGGAACTGCTGCGCAGCCTGGCCTGCTACAAGTGCTACGTCCACTGGTCACAGCGGAGTCAGCAGACTGAGCAGAGGCGTCTTCACTCTCTGTTGGCTCACGCTCACGCCCCTGTCTCCTCCTTGGTGGCGAGATAGCAGAGTGCGATTGTCCTCCTTCCATGCTGCGAAACTGAGGGCTTGCGCGGATCCTCGAGAAGATCTGTTAGACTGTTAGAACTGGATAGGACAGAAAAATAGCGTGGCGCGGCGCAAGGGTGTGGACGCACAAAGAGAGGGGAAACGAGAAAAGGAAGACGGTGAGAAACGAATAGTCTGAGACAAATCGGCGGGGATGTGGAGACGGATGGGGTCAATCGCTCGACTTGCGCCGGACTCGCTCGAAGTCGTCGCTTGCTTGTTTTCCAGGAAAGAATCGAACACAATGGGAATGCGAGCGGCAGACCGAGTAGTTTTCGGGACCCACTAAGATAGAGAGGGAGACGAAGACGTAGAAGAGGGAGGAGGCGAAGAAGAGGAAGAGGAGGAAGGAGAGGAAGAAGAAGGCGAGCGGGAAGAGAGAAGAGGAGGAGAGAAGGGAAAGAAGAAGACTACAAAGAAGAATAGAATGGGATCAAGTAAGATAGAGAGGGAGAAAAAGACGAAGAACAAGACGAAGAAGACGAAGAAGAGAGCGAGGACAGGGAGCGGGAAAAGAGGAAAGGATTTCAAGGAGGGGAGAAGGGAAAGAAGAAGCCGTCGAAGATTCGAAGAGGAGTGCAAAGAAGAAGAGACTCAAGTAGTCACGGCAAAAAGGCGCAACATGGATGACAAAAAATCGACATGAGACAGTGTAAGCCTGTTGGAGGAAGAGAGAGAAGGCTTATACTGTTCGCAGGGACACGTACATGTGCATGGGCAGGCAACGTTAGAGCCGATCGATTGTGTGTGTGTGTGTGTGTGTGTGTGTGTGTGTGAGAGAGAGAGAGAGAGAGAGAGAGAGAGAGAGAGAGAGAGAGAGAGAGAGAGAGAGAGANGAGAGAGAGAGAGAGAGAGAGAGAGAGAGAGAGAGAGAGAGAGGTCACGCAGGTTAGCGGCCGTTAGCCCGAGGAAGCAAGAGGAAGGCAAACAGATGGATAGGGACAGTTAGAGACATACAGGTGGATGCATGGGAGTCGGACGTAGGAGATTAGAGAAGCAACAAGAGAGAAATGTCGAAGCAGCTCTCTGAGCCTCTCTCCCCTAATCACAAGTAACAGAAGCACGAGTTCCGCCGCTGGTCATTTAAGTTCGCCGCTATTAACCCGACCATGATGATCGTACTTGTCGTACTTGTCGCTTCAGCCGCTGGCCCGCTACTGCTTTGGCGATCCGCAGCACCGACCTTTCCCAAATACTGGCACAAAATACTAGAACTGCACGCAAACAGGCGGGCACGTACAAGCAACCAAACACCCACAATGTCGTGTGCACAAAATACTAGAACTGCACCCGCTCAAGGAAGGCCAGAGGCGTCGTCCGCTTCTTAAGGAACGCTATGATTGCCGGTCAGCTGCAGTGCTCTCACTCATTCCGGTTCTGTTCCCTCTCTCTCTCTCTCTCTCTCGACGAAACAGTCTGTCACAACCCCTCGTTTGTTGTCCTGTTTTCACAGGGCACTGCGGGCAGTTATAGTATGTTGTCCACAACGACTCCACATGACATTGTGGGTTTTCGCTCGCTTGTACGTCCCTGCCTGCGTGCGTGTTCATGTGCGTGTATGTTGGGGGAGGTCGATGCTGGGTCTCGCCAGCGCAGTAGCGGCTACCTGGGGCAAGGTCCCACTTGCACGGATTAAGAGATTCTGACCGTTGAGCTGTGCCCGGTGAACGTTAGGCAGAGAGGGAGACGAGGACAACAAACGAGACGAGGGCTGTGACACACTGACACTGTTTTTTTTTTTTTTTTTTTTTTTTTTTTTTTTACTGACACTGTTTCATGTTAGACATTTGTTATATTTATTCAATATACGGATACTTCATTTATTGTACATATTATTTAGATTGAACATGTTATAGATTTATGTATTTCTACATGCACTGGGACGCTTTCTGGAACCGATACATTCAAAATGTTGGACTCTTAGGGCCTCGTTAGACACTCCTTTGGGACGTGAAATCCACAAGGACGTGCTCGTTC